TATATATATTGGATAAATTGCATAAAGTTTAATAGAAGATCCAATATTTAACTTATTTTATAGAGTATAAAGACAAAAAATTAAGTAAGTTTTTTAACTAAAGTTAGTTAGAAGGACCAAAAGTGAAACAAAATAATAATCACGATGACCAAAATTGTAATTAGTTTAAAATAGAAATCAAATTTGATAGTGATTGACAATCACAAAGATCAAAAATATAATCTACTCTAGACTAGACTGCTTAATAAGAGATTTATGTTTATATGACCGAATATGCGTTCTGTGTAAAAAAGTGTTACATGACGCTTTTGGTCGTCATAACTAGTTTTTTAGTACACTTTTAAAATAATAATGTCATATTAGCTATTTTATAGAATGTTTTAGATAAGTCCTATAACACTACTTATAAGATGTTTGTTTTTGTATGACATGCATTTTTTCGAAAAATGTCATAAAAAAATTAATAGCACGTTTTATTTCAAAAGTATTCTAAAACACTTGTTAATATGACCAAAATCATTCTATAAACAATGTCAAAGACATAATATATACATATCGTAAATGCAAACAAATAAACTCACTCATCCTTCACTCTCTTGAGGTTTGAAACCTTGACTTCCATAGAGGCTAAAGACCCAGATATCAACTTATTGTAACACTTTTACTTAAAACACACAATTGTATTTGGTTCTTTAAACTTAAATCCCATATAACAGTCTAGTTTATGAGATGAGTTATACATTTTTGCCATCCTAAAAACTCGATTTCATTATTATTTCACATGGGTACTTGATTAACTATCAAATAGAGATCATATAGAAATCGGATCCATATACATAATACATACATATGAACCAGATGATCAATTAACCAGCTGCTAAGCTAACTACTAAAACAGACTGTGATGAATCACATATCATCATCAAGAACACAAACAGGATACTGGGATTCATCGTAAATCGAATTCAATTCGTACCTGAGGGAGAGTAGCAGATACAGCAGCCATGGATGAAGATGAAGTGGACAGTTTGGTCTGATACGGTGAGAGAGAGAGAGAAAGAGAGAGAGAGAGAAAGAGAATTCAAAAATGGAAAAGAGAAGAATGAATGAATGTATGTATGTATGTGGTAGGCAGAAATAGGGGCTTAAAAGCAAAGGGGGGGTTATAAGGGGGAGTGACTGGCATTCACATGATGGTTATCTGTCAATTATGGGTGAGTTGGAGTCCTTAGAATTAATTATAAAAAGATGGAGGGAAAAAGAGAGAAATAATGAGGAGGAGGAGTTGTCAAAAGGCAAAGTGACAAGCTTTCCAAGGGACCATTTCATTTAACGGCTTTACTTTGTTTAAGCCATATAGTTGTCCTCTTTGTCCATTTGTGACCAACACATTATTTGCAACATCATTTTAAAAAATACATACATATATATATGTATGTATTTTACCACGACCTTCTACTTTTTTATATTATAAAAGATATATATATATATATATATGATTAACATGCTCTCTGGACATTCTTACTGTTACAATCACACGACGACCATGATGTATAAACAGGTAAATTATGACCCAAAAATAAGTGGATGATGTCTTGAGTCGAATATCTAATCTTTCAGAATATATTTGGTAAAAACCCGTATTTAATTTACTGAAAAATGTTGACGGGTTAACAAACTCTATCCTTTTTTATATCTATTATTGATTTATTAGGTATTTTTTATGTCACAAACTACTAATCATCCGACTTATAATATTAAATTCGATTATATATATAATGAAGAAATAACTACTTTCAAAATATTTTGGCATGGGGATATTGCAACAACCATCGCTCAAGGTGGCATTAAATACATGTAGCATATGGTTTTGTTAAGATTCTACACTTGCTACCTACTTTTTGGAATTAATTTGATTTTAATTCATTTAAAGGAAATATGTGAATAAAAGACTATACTAACCTTCTACTTTTATCTTTTTATACTAACATATTTATTGGTTTAAGATTAGCTAGCTACTCATCAAGTTATGTTTGTTTTTCCATTAATGTCTAAGTGATGATTCAACTGGATGATTTTGTTACCCTGTATATCTAATCCGTTACGCAAGCTGACTAATCTGTTTTGCAGGTAGCTCGAAGTCACCTTATTTGAACCTCGGTGTTCACAAGGGGATTTTTTATACCTCTTTAGATTTAAACTTGAGATTTCCAGGTACTTTTGATCTTTGGAATTCAAGTTTAAAGTAATCAAGCATCACCCTTATGATTGGTTTTAAAATATTATATATTTGTTGTGACAGATATTCCATTATGTTATTGAAAACAAGTATATGTTAATAGAAAAATAAACAACCCATTAAATGGATCGGTTATTATAATACATATGAATAAAATATGATGGTAATTCTTTATTGCATAAGTTAATTATTTGATGTCTTTGTCTATGCACTTATAAATACTTATCAGCATGGAATTTCTTAATTTATTTAAAGAATAATTAATTATATCATTATTGTTATGAACTTTACCAAAAGTTACATAACAACAAGCAAACTATACATATACATACATATATATATATATATATATATAACTTGATAATAGAACAATTAAATAGTATTATATAATATAAGGGATAATTTTGAGGTTGATGACTATGAATATTAATTTTGTTTTTTATGTTATATATATATATTAGTTTGATTAATGCATGCAGTTTAGCCACAAAAGGGTCTTAAATATGACTTTTGGGTGTTTTGAACCCAAAAAATGAAAGTATTTCATATTTTAATCTAAGGCGTAAAGTTTTGGATTTTATGTTTAGCTACTGGAAATAGGAAATTGTTGCACAAAGGTTCAATAAATTAATGGTTATAAAATTTCCATTTTGCCTCCATAATACTAAGGGGGTGTTTGAGATTGCTTATAAAAACAACTTATTGACTTATTCCGGTGTGGCACCGGTAATAAACATTTTTAAGTGTTTGGATAAACAACTTATACTGGTGATAAGAAGTTTTTGAAAAAATTAAACTTTTTTGACTTATAATAAGTTAATAAATGTTTTTGTAGAAAAACATAAGTTGTTTCAAATAAGCAATCTCAAACACCCCCTAAGAATGGTTAGGTTTTAGTCAAATGTGTTACAAGTTCTTATTTTTACAAATTGACCACACAAACAGAAAAACTTTATCATAAAGGTCTAAAGTAACTTCTAGGAATTCAATTGTGTAACCGAAAACACATAAATTATTAGAATACTACTCAATCAGTCCCTTTGGTACTCAGGTGCAAAGCAATTGGGCCTCTGAAACACGATATAAGGTTTTATGTTGTCTAAACTTAGTTTATTGAAGATATATCAAATTGATCAAAAAAAAAAAGACTTAATATATAGTATATGGTGCTAACCGATAACAAGTAGACACCATAAGTCAATCGACCAACAAGTCCAAGGATAATATTCATGCTTCATGAACTAGTCCAATTATCCCGACACATTTAGAAAAGTCACTCCTTCTAACATCTGAGGTGAAACATCATTCTTGAGCGAAATCCAATAACGACACTATATGGACAATTGTATAAACATTTTTTTTCTGGTACACGAAGTTGGGCAGCATACATTTTTACCCTGTTCGCTACAATATTTTACGACATATGAGACGTTTGATCACCTGTCAATTTTTATGTTTCACTTGTAATTAACTCACACTCGATGCTTGTGATTAATAAGCCAACACATGCACAATCTTAGCATTTATGGGAAAAAATGGGTCTTCAGTTGGGACCACACAATTTTATAAAGGGTCTTTTATAGAGCCTTAAGTAAGGACGACAAATTGATAGACTAATTCTAACATCAATATACACCATATTTTGCATATATTTATTGTCTTGTAGGTTAGACTTAATTACATAACCCTTCAATTAAAAGAACTTATTATCGCAACTTTTTGTTGAATGTATTGACGCCACTACAACAAAATTGAGTTTATAAGACACCCCTAATCTCTAAGCGTCTCAATAGACCGTTTTATAGGACTTCATTTATAGAATCAAAATATAAAGTGTCATATCTAGAGTTGTTGTAATAAGTTTATATGACGCTTTTGGACATCTTAACAAGTTTTTTTAGGACATTTTTAATAGAAAGTGTCGCATTAGCAACTTTATAGGACATTCTTGAGAAAGTGTCTTATAAACTCATTTTTTATAAGACACTTGTTTTTATAGGACAGTTTTTCAAATAATGTCCTATAAAATTGCTAATGGGACGCTTTATATTAAAAGTGTCCTAAAAAAATTTATTACGACATCAAAAAAGGTCATAAACTTATTACAACGCCTTTAGATAACACACTTTATTTTTTTGGTCCTATAAATTAAGTTCTATAAAGAGGTTTATTAAGACGCTTAAAAATGGAGAATGTTATATAAACCCAATTTTGTTGTAGTGTGCAATGACCTCCACCATGCTCAAAGGTCTCGGTACTGTAAACTAATGTTTAGATTGGAATAGTTGGGGATCTTGGATAAACTCGATTAGGGTTGAATGTGATGAATATTGTTTTCATTTACTATTTGTGTTTAAATTATGACAGTTTATCTTAATGTATTTTGATTGACAATATGCTTTAGATAGAACTTATAGACCTTTTCTTTTGAACTCATTAAAATGACACAAGTAACATGTTCTTTAACTTAATATTTGGGCCATTAAAAAAGAAGAAACTAAGGGGCAGTTTACCAAACGCTTACCAAGTCATATTACCTTGTCGAATTAATATGATAAGGACCAAGAATCTTACCCGGTAAGAGAAAGACAAGGACCGAGAGTCTTATTCGGTAAGTGAGGGTGACGACTCTTACCATGATGTCGTTTTGGAATAAAATCTTATTCAGTCAGTAAGTGGTAGTGTTAAATTTTACTTGGTAAACACTTACCGGATGAGTATTTGGTAAATAGCCCCTGACGTCCAAAATCAAGTTACACAAATTCTCTTTTTATAGCCAAAACTTCATAATATATGTGTCATAGTCCAGTCAACTTTTAGAAAAACATCCTTTTAGTAAACCAAAGTTAGGAAGCACGTGCTTGTAAGTTGTAACACACATGCCAAATTTACGTTTCATGTGCAACATGTGCGATCGGTTCGAGTGGGTAGTCGATTGAAACATGTATTTAGCTTTATAGTAATGATTTTAGGTTTTAATATGAATGTTCCATCAATATATACACAATACTCTATTTCTACCAACTTTTGTTCATATACCCACCTCAATAAACCTTAGGATTGCTCAACTAATAAGGCAATTGAGTTTATTCTCATATGGTCATCAGTTTGAATCTCGTCAGGATTATTAGAGGTTTGTTTGACTAGATTGGTCTATATATACACATGAATCTTGAATATATACACACACATATAGTGAATCGTCTATCGACGTTAGGTTAGCATTGTAAAGACAAAATCGTTACAAACCATATAAAAATCATCAAGTCGAAGAACATAATTAAAACATACCTCGTAGAAGCCTGTTTAATGCCATGGATGTTAAAGATGAAATTGCTGGGCTTTTTTAATATGCTGTCAAAGTATATAAGGATGGCGATCACAAAATCCTCATTTGTTTTCAGTTAATTGGGATGGAAATTTATCGGAGTTTGGTATGTTAATTGGAGGGTAATTAAATTAAGCTTTTTATGGTTTTAAATAGACGGTGAAGCAAAAAGTTAGAGTGCGCATTTATCCAACACACGCCTAAGGCCAAACCCCTACAAGAAAGGACGACCACAATGTCCCGGTATTGATTCTTGTGGATGATGATTATTATGCATAAGAAGTAAAAAATGTACATGAGCATCTTTAATAGTTTGCTGATAATCTATGAGTAAATTACAAATTTCATCCCTATGGTCATTGAAAATTTTGGACCGGGTCCTCCAAACGAAATAATTACATGTATGATCATCATGGTTTCACTTTTATTATGGATCGAGTCCCTAACATAACTTTGTTAACTCCAGGATATTTTGGTCATTTTATGATTTCCTTTATTTTTTCTTTTCAATAAATAAATAAAATATAATGTGTAATATATCAAATACTATTGTGTC